GCCGGGAAGGATGATAAATTTTTCTCGAAGCCAGAATGCTTGGAACGGCAAAAACGGTAATTACGACGATAATTGGTCCGCGAAATCGTTACGCGATTGGCGGAGAACTGTACGCCACGATTGTTTCCTGAGACCGAGGTGGGAAAAATGGGGAAAAGCGGGATGGAAAGCCGATTTTCATGAAATTACGATGACGTGTGTGTGCGTTGGATCGAATGGGTTTTGGTTGGAGGAAATGGTCGAGGAACGTGGAAAGTGATGTACTGGGTGGAGGGATAAATAATCCACTGTTTGTCGATGAAATGACTTCGTTTCTGTAACAAGGATTAATTCCTTTATCATTTGAATTAATGGATGAGGCGGGAAAATGGGGGAAGGTGGGATGGGAAGGCGATTTTCATGAAATTACGATAACGTGCGTGTGCGTTGGATCGAATGGGTTTTGGTTGGAGTAATGTTTTTTCAGCATTTCACACCATTCTCGCTGAATGAAAGTTCACGAACGTGTTTTTAATTTAAGGGAAAAACGAAATATTGGATTATTTATTGGTACATGGAATAGGTAAAAAAAAAAATCGAGTCATGAGTTAAGATTTTCTAGGTCAACAATGATGTATACATAATTGAGGTTGAATTAGTAGTAAGCAAAAATACGCAGTGGAAAAATGATCGTAGGCAAGGTCTATTAAATCGTGATTAAATGTACTCAAGTTAAAGCAAGCAGAATTAACTGATAACTTTTACTGTTAGTAAATGCAAGGCAATATTATCTTTATTGGAGTTTCAGAACGAGGATAATTTTGAATATAGTTACCTGTGGTTAACCACTGCTGCTATACTTGTATTATAAATCAGAGGTAATTGTTAAAAACACGCTGCAGAGATCTCAGAATTCAGTTTCTGCAGTTTCAAATTTACAAAGAAAAATATCAGGTACATGTATATGTTCAGTAAAGTAATCTGTAGCAAAATTGAAGGTTAGACACAATCTGTTTAATGACTGGAGAGTGTCGTGCCACAGTAAGCTTGCAAATCGCGACGAATATCGTTTCCTTGTAGCCGCTTTCAAATAAAATCGTTTCCTATTTCCATCAGGAACAGATCGTCAATTTTTTCACGGGAAACATCGACACTTCTAACGGCAGCGAGGAGAAAGCTTCGTTCAATGGATGCATTACGAGTTATCGTAATTTTTGAAGCGCATATTGAATGAAGTTTATGGGTACTTACACCTGCCCCGTAATGTTCTCTACTACGTAAAGATAAAATCAACCTTAGTAACCTGCACTGGTTTCGCGAAAGTGTTCAATAGAATCATAGTACAGAGCACTAAAAAAATATACTTTTTAGCGGGATTCGAATCTAAACATTTTTTTATCTCGAAACTTTCATGAAACATAATCATCTTATGCATTATAAACTTTCTCTTGAACCGTGTTTGTGATCCCGAAAAAATCTGTAAGTAGCTAATTAATGCACGAATACCAATTAAAATAAAACTCCCATCTAAGACGATCGAAAGATGAACGGTTTTCGACACTTTAACGCTCCGAGAAACAAGAAACATGTTGATAAACTAGTCGTTGCATAAACGTCGGTTATTTTGGCAATAGCCATTGCCTTTAAATCGAAAAATTATGTCCAATTCGGAAGATAACTCTTCCGTTCCCGCGTAACATTCAGGTGGACACTGGCGAAATTTGTTGTATTACGTGATCGATTTCACTCGCAGAAGGTACACAAAATAACATCGTACCCGAAATTGTATCATTTCCTTCTTTCCATATCCAAATCCACTATCAACACTGTCATAACAAAATACTGACCAAATACCATTCCCCAAGGTACACAAATAATAATTACTTCCTCGGTCCTGTTTTTAATATGGTAGTAATTTTATGACTGTCGAATCAACAATCATTAAAATGCTCCCGTGTTGTTTCACGGATAAAAAAAAGAAAGAGAAATTTGGTTGCGTGCTGGGCTCGCGAGGTGTCGAAATACATAAGAAAGGCGGAATTCGTCTCGTCGTTCCGATCAAACGTAACAGAAAACGTTGACACCGCTCGATGACATAATTTCGAGTGTGACTTGCAACGCACGCAACTAGAGCACACCAGTTTATCGCCTATTAATCATTGCATCGGAATCAACCATCATCGTCGTTGGACCAGAACCGGCCGAGTGGAACAGGAAAATCTCATTATGGAGGCTGTCTAACGGCAAGCTGTCCGTACGATTTCCATCCAGCGTCAAACAACGCTACCGCTTAATTGAAAAAAAATTACAGGCCCCTCGTTTTCGTCAGTTGCGAAACGGTCTTTCTTCCGGTCGACAATTAGGCTTATTGTCAATCCTTTCCACGTTTCCCAGGCCAATATTAATGGTAATACAATGGCCGTCGAACGGCGCATTAGAGGATCGTATTCCCAACGTGGTTTCTTCGAAACGTTTTTTTTCTTCTTCTTTTTTTACACCGGTAATCACCGGGACCCAACGCGACTTGGCCCCGAAACGATCGGAACCGTGGAGTTCGCGTACACACGTACACTTTGCCGTGTTAATTGAGTATAAAATTCGTAGGCAAAAATCATCGAAGTCGCAACATCCCGTGTCGCGATCGAGCGTCGCTTGCAACACTCGAAATTTTATTGATTCCAGTTCCTACGGAATAACGACAACCGTTAATCTGTCAAATTTCAAGGTTCTTCGCTTCGCATCGAGAATTGCGTAAATCTTGTTCGGAAATTACATGTGTGAAAAGTTATGGGACAAGAACGTGTTTATCGCATGGGGATAGATAAACATTCCCGCCTCGTAACCCAGATAGGACATGACGCCTTGAAGACGGCTTGAAGGCGCCTTAGAAACCTTGTTAAAATCGAAATCGGTCAGTGGGGTCCTTCCTCTGTAAGAAATATCATTTTTACGAAACATCAGGATTTTTTTGTATGCTCGATTCCTGAAGGACTCGATCACGAAGCGATGACAACAGGGACTATTCGGTTAATGATACGGTCACGATCAACGATACGGAAAATGTTTTGATGCCACGGTTCACTTGTTCAGAATGAAATATGTACTGTGTATGTAATGCATTTAGCTCTGGACACTATGCGCTTTCGGTGGGACACGTCGAATCGGTAAATGCCGGTTTTTCCAATCGATGGTCGGCTTTTTTTTTTTTAGAAAACGAGTTAGTGTTAAGAGCAAGGTAACGATCACGGCGTCCACGGTGTCGCGACAGTGTACGTTGCATCCAACTTTTCTTTTGTCCTTTTTTATTTGTTTTTTATTTTTATTTTTTTTTTTGTGTGTGTGTGTACGCCGCTCGCCCAACCAGTGTTGCAGGAAGTGGTGCAGACTGCATACTTAAAATATCCATCATACAGGGAGAAAGCGTTTCGTAACCCCTGTCTGTATACCTGGCGTGTATCTTGCGTGGCTGGTGCACCCAGTAACAAGGTGAGGCGAGAAGGTATACGTACGACGCAATTCGCGGTGATTTTGAGGAGGTCCAGAGTCACATCGTGATTACGTAAGGGCTACTCGGACTCGGTCCACCTTTTGGGCGAACCATCCGGAGTGTAACCTAAATAGTGAAAGTGGTTCCTGAATGTTTGGTAACATGATCTTTCGATCAAAGGGTTTCAGGTAACGTAACAAAAATGGACAATCCTTTCTTTTCGTTTACTTTCGGATTAATTGGTGCTCGAAACGGAAGAAATTTCTCATGTTGCATGGAATGAAGGAAACATGTAACTGGCAATATTGTAATTGTCCTTACCTCTTAGGTACTCTCATTCGTTGAAAGTCTTACTCCTGGTGACAAGAACAGAGCAAAGTTTTATTAAAAAATGGAGAATATTGTAATGGATAAAATATGAAGTATTTAATGACAAATAAGGGAATGGAGATAAATCACTTACAAACAGATCGAGTAGATGTAAGGAATTGGGATTGTTGCTGCAGGATTTCTTTGTACAATGGAAATGTTGATTTCTCGTATTGGGCCATTGACAATATCGATAAAAAGGAACGCCTGTTAAAACGTTTGCAACGAGATCGTGGGCGTTACGCAAGTCGGGATCCTTTTTCGCGTTTTCGGTACAAGCACGCGGACGTGCAACAATCGACGAAAGGGGACGAGAGTGCAAAAGGACAAAGAAAATAAAATGATGCTGGAGAAGTTGCGACGGTTTGTGTTTTCGATGTGCCTATAATCGTTCCTCGTTTACGTAAGGACCGCTTGCAATTATCCCCTCCCTCCATCGTTCACGAAAAACATTTCTACCTCTTCTTGTCCCGTGAAAGTCCACTCGGTTAGGCCAATTTTGAGGGAAATATGCTTCGGTTAGCGTGCCACGGGAGAAAATGAGGAACGTGGCCGATGAAAGTCAAACATTGGAATCGATCCAATGGGTGGTGCACGGTATGCGGCATAAAAATCATAAACGCCGGCTAATTGTTCAAGGCAAACACGATTTACTGGATCCGGAATTGGAGTCTCGATCAGAAAACGGAATCAGGATCAACCTTGTTACGAGGCTCCTTCCTCTGGCCGAAGACGGTTATATAACAGCGGTTCCGAAGCGGAAGGGAAATTCTGAGCCCGATATTTTATATAGACGGGTCAGTGAGATCGTCTACAACTACATCGATCGTCGTGCATGTTGCGTTTCGCAATGATTATAAGTTTCCACCTGTAAACAATACACTGTTTGTGCGACAAACCATGGACGGTAATTAGATTTATGTAATTGGATCGATTTAATCGTGCTTTAGAGTATTTTTTAATATTTTGGTCTCGTTTCGATAAACGCACGCGTATGAATTTGTCAGGAAGCTATAGACTGCGTAATAATAAATACATTAGAAAAGTGATATGTGTGTAATACAATGGTACAAGGTGTAGAGACATTCATTCAATCATTCTCATTCCACTCCTCTCATTCATTTACTCGTATAAAAAATGTATAATACTTATTATTAACTGTAATACATTTTACGATAACGGAAATGTCTTAAGTAGAATTATAGACAGTCAGTAGTATTTTTTTTTTTTTAATTTGGTTGTAATTGTCGACTGTGGTTTTTGCCAATCCAAAGGTTTACGACGGTACATTGGCCATGGTTGTAGTGTAATTAAAGCGGCCATCACAAATCCGGCACCAAGAATGTACATTGTCTGTGAAAATTGCTGGATAACGTATCCCCATATAAATCCAACAACCTGTGAACATAAATTTGGCATATGAAAACAATTTTTTATTGATGACATGAAGCATAAACACTTTAAATGCAGTGCCTTACACCGAATAATGTTATAATCACTCTGGACAATTTTTCTGCCCCAGCTTGACCTTCATAGTCCTAGAAAAGTTAATAGTATCAATGAAAAAGATACTTTCGTTTAATGTCAAGCAGCTACGTCATTTGACTTTGACAGATGCTAACATAACCTACATAAACATGAGGAAAGCAAAACATTATTTGAAAGGTACTTGTGGTATTAGTAATTTAATATTAATTCAAGGTAAAGTTAGGAAGTTACCATATGCGTTGGAATGGACTTGGCATACTGTATCCACGAACTCATTGTAAACAAACAACACGACGTACCGGCAGCAGTGTATGTATATTATGTGTATACAAACGAACTTCAGTACGGTCGGGGATGCCGGTGCGATACGTTCAAGTTGCTCCGTGTGAATTGTTTTCGGCGCCAGTTTAGATGAATATTTTTTTAAACAGTGAGTTAATTTACATATATGAATTGTGTGGACAGTGAAAGAATATATGTATGTCATATAATTGAATGTCAACTGCCATCAACAGCCATCAACTTCAATTCTTTTCGGTAAGTGTAGTTTACCAGTGGCAAAAATCGCTACAGTAATATACGCGTCGATGAAATAACATTCACGTAAATTTATTCGGAGTAAGTGAAACATTAATGTAATTAGCGGCTAGATTATTTGAAATGTTACAACTTCCGTGGGCTAATTCCGTTGCGCAATTTCTCTGGCTTATCATTTTACAAATAGAATGCACACGTTACGTATATTATGCTTTCTAATGCCTTCAAGTGTGAATTTCTCTATTGAAATTCAGGAGAATCTAACACGAGCATGCATTACGAGCATGTATAATAGAAATTGAATCATAGCACAATATCGAAAGAAAAAGTTTTGAAAAAAAGTAAGTGATAATAATTCGTAGTTTAAATCTTCCGTGTTTGGTAAGATGGCGGTTGACTGGCGGATATTCAAAATTGTTCATCTTCCAATTAAGTAAATCTGTAGGTATCCTTCAATGTCCTACTTATTTTGTTCTTTTTTAATGAGTCTATCCTTTTTCGAATTATATAATATCATCTATGTTGAATCATATTATGTAGGAATGAAAATAATTTTTGTTATGAAAAGTTCGCGCCTTAAATTTCCATCACGTTCCTCTCCCCCTTCCATAATTGCGTGAACTACAGGAAGAGGTTACAATCGAAATTAACATCGTCGTTCGTGCCAGAGATCGTGTCACCGATCGGTTAAACGAAAACTATTAATTAGACACGCTTCGTTTTATTCAAGTGTTGACATATGACCGTGTACTGTCGTCACCGGTTAGAAAACGCGTTTCTAGCGGTACAACGACACGCGACAGTATTCGCCATTCATGCTTTGTAACAGTTGTTCAGAGGCGAAACTGACGCTTTGCGTCTGCTGCTCGGAATTTAAAATAAGATTCAGGCAAAATGTCTCAAGGACGGCGTTGTGTTACGATAATATTGAAATCGAGGGAGAGAATCGTTTGGCAGGAATTACGAAACGTTGAACACGTTTTCTTTTCTTTTAGTGATATTCATTTCGAATGCATAGACAGCTCTTGGTTTTTCTTGTACCTTCAGTTTTAATAATCACATAGTATTAAGGAAGGAATAAGAATAGTGAAATATTGTTTTACGTCCCCTCTCTAGGATATATTTAATACTCAGAGTTCAGTAATGAATATGAATCTATTGATGGTCCTACACTTGACCTTTTTCTTTCTGAACCACTATAATTGTATCAGCTTAAGACAACTGGCTATACATAGCACATAGTGCTTCTTATACATTCTCAATCATGTCATAAATATATGATTTTAAATGCAAGATGATGTACAGAATGTTTTGGTTCTCTTTATATTAAGAAATATTTTCGTGTAACGTATAACAAAACATTATTCAATATAATTATAACTAGCAATCAACTATTTCTTCTTCTTTGATTTAACATTGACATCAGGCTGTGGTTTTTGCCAGTCCAAAGGTTTACGGCGGTACATGGGCCATGGTGGTACTGTGATCAAAGCAGCCATTACAAATCCAGCACCAAGTATGTAAATTGTCTGTGAAAATTGTTGAATAACGTATCCCCATATTAATCCAACTACCTAAAATGTAAATCAGTTGTATAGACACCAATTAATTGACATTATGAAGACAAATTTTTTAAGTATGTAATCTTACTCCAAATAACGTTATAATGACTCGTGACAAATTTTCTACCCGTGCCTGGCCATCATAGTCCTAAAAAAGAGTAATGATTCTTCATAATAATAACTATTTATCAGTATACACAACATCTGTTGTGTTGGAAACCATAACCTTATTGTAAGACGGTTGATGCATATTTAAGTGAAGTATATATCAAATTTAGAATAATTCATAAATTTACCATATGCGTGGGGATGGTTTTGATGTATTGCACCCACGAACTCATTTTAAACAAATAATACTAAAATACCGATAGTTATTACACAGTACTACAGTTCCAACGAGCTACGTACACACACAGGTGTTGACGTTGCTCGCGCAGACGCAACACTTACAGTTTACGTGTAGGTTTCTCCGTGGCGCGAATTTTGATTCTACTAGTTACAACCTAAGCTTCAGTTCGTTAAAGATTAAATTAAGACATATAAATAAAGATACTTACTTTACATTTCTATTTGCAACGTAATCCAATACAACATAACGCGATGGTAGGTAATGCTCAATTCTACATAACAAGTATATAAATATTTAGGTTTATTTTATTACATCTTACAATGTATAAAGTATCATTACATAAATGATAAACATTAGTAAATAATACAGAAATAGAATACTACACATAAATTAAATGAGAATAATATTCTATATTGCAACAATTGTCATAAGAGTAGCTGAAACTAATGTCGTTTATTACGGAACCTCGTTCAGCTACATTTTAAGTACAACAGGCCGATAATAATTTTCCTATACTTCCTATTCCGTCATTGTTCATAAGTATCGACAAATGTCAGTGTTACAATTTGTTCTGATTCTTTGAAATTGTCACATTAAGATCGCATAATTTCGAAATCGTCTAGCAACAAGGTAACATTGCACGTCGCCAATGAATGGAAAACGCGTTTCTAACGGCGCGATGCATGCAACTATGTTAGAAATTCGTATTTCGTAGCGACGTGCAATGACGAGACTGACACGCGCTTCTGCATGCACGGAATCTGAAACGAGACCGAGCCTATGTCGCCAAGGGCAACAGTATCGAATATTTCCTTGGGGAAATTTTATTACTATATAATTCGTTTCATTTAAATGAATGATTATTAAATAAATATTGAACTATTTTTCGCACATGTACATACAAATTCATTCTCATAAGTATTTGCACCGTCGATATAAATTCAATCGCGATGTACTGTTGTGATCTGTGATATCACAATAAACATTATCACGAAATATAATGTCTAAATCTGCACGATATTTTCCGGAACATAGATAGATTCTTTTCTAGAAACGAATAGGTAAATATCTAGAACCGATGTAGACTCTTATGGGATAATTTACAAACTTCTGCCAAGTTCCCAAAACTAACTACCCAGATAGCAGTTGACGGCCCCCTTAAAAACGGCTTAAAAGCGCCTTAGACCTAAAATAGCCCTAAAATGTGCGTCTTCAAGGCGTCATGTGCTATCTGGGTAAGAACCTCATCTTCCTTTATTGATTTAACATTTCAATATCCTGAATGATAGACAATTACCTATTCCGTAAATGCATAAAAATTGCAGTCTAGATCACCTCTACGAAAAAGGGGGAGGTATAGCGTTCAACTGTACATGGAGCATCATAATAACCAGAGTATAGTGCCCTCCGATTAAAATGGCTTCTGATCGGAAGCCATGAACGAACGTTCCCGTTTATTCGTGTTCCTGGATCATCACAGTCGCGCCGTATTTGTAGTGTCCTCGTGGTTCGACGAGCACCACGCGGACGTCGAGGACAGCTCGTTTGTGGATCTTGCAAAATTCACCGCGTCCCCGATGGTGGGGAACACCGCGAACAGGCCGCCTTTGCATTCCGTCAGGTTGCACTTTCTCATCATCTCGTAAACAGGCCCTGCGATACGTTAACAAACCGTGTAAGTACGGTTGCTGTTGAATGCGCCCGACGTTTCGTCGTATCGCGTAAACCGATCGTCGTCTCCCCGCGCTTCCGCTTCCGATCTGTCCACCTCCCCTCTAACCGCTCGAACGATCGGAGGTGGTCTACTCACCGGAACAGCCGGCGACGTACACGGATATATCGGCCTCGGAGTACTCGTCGATCAAATTTCCAACGGTCGTTGCGCCGGCCAGATCTATGTGACTCACCGCGGTGAAATCCAGTATCAGGGTGCGCAGCTATATAATTCAATCACCAGGAAATTAATTCTTTTTTTTTTACGATGTTCCGTTGCGTAATCCAGTCCGTTTGGTCGTGGAAAGATTTACGTTTTGCGCGCAGTTTAAGCAGGCAGTGCCATAGGCGTAGCCAGTTCATCAATCGAAGGATTAGGAGGGGAGTGGGGCAAAATTTATCTTAAGATAAATTTTATAATGGCTACGCCTATGGGCACTGTCAGTGGGAGAGTACGTATTACTATTTGTTCATCCACGCTAGAATTTCTAGAGCAGTCAGAAGGACTGAAGCAAATCAAGGTCTCAGTCAATGGATACAACTTTTACTGCAATATGACGAAAGTAGTTGATTTATAAATTAGAATACTTTCAAAAGATTGTCAGGTTTATCTATCGGATAGAAATAAAAATATGTCCATCGTCGGTAGTGCTAGTGTTAATATAAAGTAACAAGTAGACTGCGAATGTTATGCAAATAGGGAATTTGATATCCTCTAGCCTTCTGGAAAAGTTCGATCATCGACGTAACATTGAATCTTTCACTAGGTAAAAGGTTCGATATCATCTATTACTCTCTAGCACGTCGAAGTTACGGATGTGAAACTAATCAATAATGTTATTCCGTGTTGTTCATTCCGTCTTACGAGACCAGGTCAAAGGACATTTGCCCCGTGAAAGTTTCGTACGATCACCTGAACGAATCGATCGCGAAGCCGCAAACGTGCGTTACGACCTCACCTTTTTAATTTCCTTCAGCTCGTCGTGCTTGAAGCCCACGTCCGGCTCCTTCCGTGGCATCAGCCCAGCAACTTTGTGCACCTCGTCGCGTAATTGTTGCCGACAGGCGAAGTTCAGACTACCGGAGTAGTGAAATATTTTTATTCCCGGTAGCTCGACGGCCTGGAAAAAAGGAACGCAACTTCCGCGTTAAGAAATTCTGCGGTGCTAGACCGGTCCGACCTGAATTGTGACCAGATACATTATTGCATAAAAGAAGCGTGCGAGGAAATTTTTTTCAAGCTAAACGACCTGATGTCCGATGAGAATAAATCACATCCGTTTTTTTTTTAGCTTCGCTATGAAAAGGGAAAGTAATGCCACGTGTCCACTTGATTGTTTTACTTTCGTGAAGTGATTGACAGCAGGCCAAAGAGCAACTCTCCAATTTATGCTATGAATCGACTTGAAAATGCAAGGATAATGTATTACAGTCGTCGTAATTTTCTCATTTATTCTTAAGGGTAGAGTTTATGGGAATCCAATTCTTGAGTTGATAACAGACTAAGAACTGCTGCCTGGACTTGTTTTCGTGTGGGCACGTGGCTTAACAGATAAGAGCAAAACGAAATAAAGGGGCTACTATTACTCCATACGCCTTTATATCTCTTGGTATCCAGATAAAGCTCAGTACCAGGTACTAGAGCGAGCGTGCAGGTGTAAGGACGCACGGCGAACAGAATCAGTTTTCCAATGCAAAGGATGATCCCGATCAACAGTCCGTATTCTACGTCCAGCAGAATCACAGTCATAAACGTCACTCCCCAGATGACCCCGTCTGATTTCTCCAGTCTCCAGAACCTCCTGAACTCTGTCACTTTCTGCAGCATTCCTTTTAGCGCCACCACGATTATGCTGGCTAGAACGCACTGTTTAGACAGGATTTCATTTTTATTCTATATGATCGTTGTTCGTTAGTGTTGGTCTAGCAAATCTGTTATAGATAGACTGTGTGGTTTCACCCCTTAAAGTCGCGTCTCAGCCGATAAAAAAAATACGTATTCTTTATTTTTGACTGCTTAACAGACATACGAAGTTTCATCAAAATCGGAAGGGGGCATTTCCGTGCCTTTCCTTGTAAGACATGTTCGAATTGTATTGAGTGAGAGGCGCACGCAATCGAAACGTAGAAAATAAATGAAAGTAACTCATTGCCCGCTACATATATTCATTATACAATATAAGCTTACGACGTATGTTCACGCAATCAATATGTAAACAGTGTGTACTGTAAAAACAATACGAGCCTTTGTATCAGTTACACGTATCTAACATGAAAGATCTTCGTGTGGTCTTAAGTGATTACTGACTTAATTCAGTTGTTCCTAATTATAACTTACCCGTGGCAGAGGCTCGAAGAACGGACCGATCCACAAAAGCACGCTGATCAAAATTCCGCAGGATACCAAGCTAGCCAGCTGTGTGTGTCCGCCGACTGTCTGCTGGATCAGGGATCTGGACAGCGAAGCTGTGAAGGGCATGCAAGAGAAGAAGGATCCAACTAAATTACCGACGCCCTGCAAAATCATCGAATCACGTTTTTGTTCCTGAATAACATTTTTCTATTATATTCGTCCCTATCAACGATCTGTGAATCGTCGTTCTCCTCGTTTGGACGGTGATTATCGTGGCGGCCGTTAACGCGGCCAAGAAGCCAGCCTTGCTAGATCAAAGCTTTAGTAAACTAGGCCGTGTCTGTGACTAGAATCACAGAATTAGTTTAGATTGCACCGAGTGTCGCGTCTCAGTCAACCGCTACGGGTGTGGATATCAAGTTCAACTTATCGTTAGATGTACGTATGGAAGATGAAAGTAGGTCGAGGCTCGAGGTACAATACCGATTCGCTTGGAATCCTTTTAAGAGGATTCGATTATTCGATTCTTCGTTTCTTGATTTACCTGCGCCATTAATTCCTGGTTGGAGTCCACCTCGTAGCTCAACTTCTGCGCGAATATCAACGCCATAGACATGGATATTGTGTAGGACACCATGGTGATGACGAAACTATCGACCAGAATGTTTGGTACCAAAGATAACGGCGGCAGATTCGGGACTGGCAGGCTGGGGAAGAAAACGAAAGGGATTTTATTAGATTTAGAAAGTTAGTTTTCTCTTGAAATATTGTTCTCCAAGGAATATTGTGTTACCCGACTGGTATGTGACCAACAGTGACAACCCCATAAGCGCCTTCGAGATTCGCGTAGACCGAGAGAACCGTGCCGATCAGGACTGCTATCATTTCGATGGGGATCGGGAGGGGACTTATTTTTGCAAATTTTGGCTGAAAAAATAGAATTGAGTTTGCCGTTACTAATCTACTATAATTATTTTTAGAATTAGAAAAAAGATTCTATTTCAATTCTGTTCCAGGGTGGGGCCTAATTATTCTATAACAATAATAAGATAATAGGAACTAATAGAATTTGGTTTATAGAGACGGTATTATTTTCAGGTGAACCTTCAGAATGTTATTGATGACAAGAATCACGATGGTGACGCCAGAGAGTATGACGGCGACCATATTAACGTCGTAGATGCTGTTGAGGACGTCCACGTAAGTCTGAAACAACCATAAACAATTAAAATATGCATCCTTGTCTCTTCTCCCACCTACAAGAATCCTCCTCTATTATTTACTTCATTATTTCCTACAATAATTACATTACTCGAAACAATTCTACATAAAACCCAACCAAAGGAAACGTTTTCAATAACTCCAACGTTCTCCACTCTCGATTTATCGATCCTCGACGTATTCTCCCTCCAATAATTCCAACCATTCAAGGAAACTGGATTGGATTCTGAGTCAGAGGACTTACGATTTATTACTCTACGCGTGCAACAACCGATGGAAAGTTTTCCGCAGAATTCCATGCGTTCGCTGCGGTTCTTTTGCGACTTTGTTACGCTCGCCTGTCGCCGCGGAGAAATGGCGGCCAGACAGTCGGCGCGCTGTCCGTCCATTAACGAGGGTATTACACGTCGGAAACGACAAACGGAATAATCACTGGCAGTTAGACGGTAGCAACGTCAATCGACTTATTTGGCACGGAGGAAAGTAGACGCGGCTATTAACCACTTTTACTTTTTCATTCTTACGCGAGTTCGATCATTCTTATGATGTCACGGAAACGATGACTGTAAATCTTCATGGAGAACACGGTCAACCCCGGAAAACCATCGATCGAGCTCTTTATTTTTTTACTTTCGACGAGGTAATTCTAATCGATAGATCCGTTACGTGGTTCACGTGATTTCACAGGCAAAGAATTCCTGTCTATTTACGGCTAAAGCAAATTAAACGTTCAATGATTATTCCTTTTTTTTTATCGTTCGAAAGCGATTGTTCAGAATCGAGGTCTCGCGACATGGCTCGTTAATCGTCGCTAGGTGATAGAAATTCGTACGAAAGCGAAATTTCAAGGACCGTATTACGACGTTAATGATCGGTGAAATGTGCATTATCGTCGGGCTACTGGCCGACTTTTCGATGTTACTTCCTGTGCCTGGGTATTTTCTAGGTGTAGACTATTGGTGATAAAGTTAAGTGTTTCTGTGGCGAAATTTCCCGTGATGTTTTAACAGTGGAATTACTGACGGCATTTCTATAGGATCGATAAACGTGACAAACTTTCGAAAATATGCAAATTCGGAGATTAACTAATTTCTTTTCTTTTCATATTGCAATGGAAAGATTTGAAAGATGTGAAAAAACGTATGATTGGAATATTTTAATCATCGTTGTAAGAAAGTACTAATGTGTCATTTTGAATGCTTTGGTACTTCTAGTGTTAATTGTGTTGAAGTCATTTCTGGACGTTTTTGTGAATGGTCCATTTAATGGAATCGAAGTTATTTGTTTGTATTTTGGAACAGACTGAATATACTACTACCTAATGTCAGTTATAGACCTCGGTGAGAAATTCTGAATGAAATTTCTTACGAAATCCTGGAACTTTTGTTATTAATAATGATCTGTTCCTGATAGTTCGCCTCGTGTGATATTTGGCCGACGTTTGTTCAAATATTACTATGAATATTTTTCGCCCCAAAATGACACTGCAGCATTTTAATGGCAGTGGTGCGCGTTGACGACTAGCTACACAGATTTTTCGATCAGTGAGGCGATAAGAAAATAAGAGATGTTTGACTACTCCGACGACGGACGTGTAAACGTTCTTATCGCGTGGCAACATGCAGCCAATTACTTCCTCGAATAACATTTACTGCGGGTAATCCTTCTACTGTTTCTATAGATTATCAATAAAACCTACGTTTGATTATCACACGTGTAACATTTTCAATGAAATTAAAGTTTTGAGATGTTTCTTTTTCGAGAAACGAACGAGAAATATTCATTCGGTTTTGTGTACACAGTTGGTTCGACGTGTTGACTTAATACTCGAGCTTTGACGACTTAATTCCGCGTACATGAATTGCAGTAAACGATGTCTTCACAATTCCATTAAAACTTACGTTTAAAGATTTGGTATTAATCGCAATTAAATTGTCCATGCAAATTCACACTTTTATATCGCAATGCACCGTGAAAGTTTCAAACTCTCTTGGAGTCTTTACTGTATTCCATTTAAGGTCACTTTGTTCTTCCCAATTTCCTAAACAAAAAAAAATCGTTTCATCTGATATCAGTAGACTCACCAGAATCAGTTTGAAAGGACCTTTTCGTGTGGGCAGATTGATCAGTCCTAATAGATCCTTCACCTGCGACGTGAACACCTGCATGGCCGCTGCGGTGGTGAACCCACTAACGAGACTGTCCGAGAGAAGGGTGACGATGATCCCCAACCGCAACACGTACATCGCCAACTGCGATCGAATGAGGTCCAGATAAATCGTATTCCTCTCGGTATGGATTCCAGCGAGGACGAAAAAATCAGGGGGAATAATTACCTGGATCATGGCGACGGTGAACGTGACCGCGGTCGCGACTTCCAACGGTGAATATTGATCGCCACCGGAGGACATTGGTTCGGTTTCTTGGGTAACGTTGCTAGATAAATGTCCTCGGGGGCTGTAAGTCGTGACCACTTTTCCGGTCATCATACAGATGAGCGCGAATGTGCCTTGACACGGGAAAAATCATGATAATTATGGTGTCAAGGAAGAAACGATGAATCACTGCGTGATTCGCATTACTCGAAGTGTTCCAGTTACGTCTTCAACATTGTGTATACATAATATAAAGTATACACACTACTGTATATAAATAATACACAGTAAAAAGTGTTAAATTAAATTGAAGTCGCAGACATCGAAACATTCCCAATGAGCTTCTATGCATTCTCAACTTTAAAGTTTATAATTATTCGCAGTTGTTTCGTGTATCGTTTTTCACAGCAACATGTTTGTTAGCACACATTAAGAATCTCTTCCGTTATCTGCTTAACGATCCGAGTACTCGGGCGCTCAAATATTTGTTAGGAAGTAGTTCCCGTTCCGAAGACGCCTCGTACAAATACGTATGGAGGAGTAATCACAGGCGCCACCACGCGTTAACGTACGATGCGTGGATCGGGACATTAAATATCAATTTTGTCCGCCGGATGACTATTAGAAAGCGAAGTCGAAAACGAAAGTTGGAAATGTCGCGTAGAAATGAACGGAGATCCGTGGATCGTAAAAAAAAAGAAAAGAAGTCGGACCATTTCCGTACATATGTCTTACAGACTTCTATATGTATACAGGGTGGGGCATTTAAATAGGAACACCTAAAAATTCTACAGGATAAAGTTGCATTGCCTTAAGGGGCTAATCCATTAATGGAAAACATTTTTCCCAGGCAAAATGATGTTTTGCTTTTGGCGGCAAAAATGGTTTTTTCAAGATCACCCATGTTATTTTACGTATATGCACATAATTTTTCCTATTATATTTTATAGCCTACATTATTATTCATTTATCTATGTATAATAGTATGACCTTGAAATGACTTTGAGCTCTAAAAATTTTTAATTTACTTATACAAAATTTACTCTACAAAGTTTAAATTCACTTATGTAATTTTGCCCACCATCTGGATCATCTCTTGAAACCATTTAAATTACGTAAAAAATGTTTCTCGTACGATCACAAATAGAGAAGATATTTAGGTGGCCTGTTTTAAAAGGAACACCCTGTATAGAAGTCTGTGGGTGATACAGTAATTGCGGAGTCGTTGAATCATACGGGCGACTTACCCATTGAATTGTGCCTGGACGTTCCGAGGAAGAGGTAAACGAGAACGGGGAAGAAAGCCATGTAAATGCCGACTATCGGCGGCACGTTGCCCAATATCGCGTACGCCATTCCTGGGGAGCAGAGCGTTCCGATGCAAACGATATTGACCCTTCTGATTGACGAAAGTCGCGATTAAAGGGAACAGCCGTGGAAAGCTACAATTGACGAGAATTGACGAGGCCGCGTTTGAATTGGAAATACTGTTTCGTTAACCCATTAGAACCCAACGTTGTTGCATTCACGCAACACTTCACTCGGAATTATTTTTTCCGGTGAATTTACATTGCATTGCATTCTGTTTTTCGTGTTACATTTATGAACGAGGATTTCGAAGATTTGGTTGATATTTTATTCGTCAATATTTCTTCTTCCACTTAGATCCCACGATAAAATTGTAGTATTTATAGCACTATGATGAAATAAATTTTTATTATAAATTGATGAAACACTTCCAATGGTAGATGTAGCTTTTCGAAATGATTTGGACATTGAATAACCGTATCTTGTAATGCATGGTAGTTGTCAAATGTTCGTACCTTGGGGAATATGCATCACCGCGACAGTAATTCCAGCGATGATGTCGCCCAGTGTGTCGTGTTTCCAATCGTATTTCGATAACCAGCCGATCAGCGGTATAGAATTTTTCAGAATCGACAGAGGCTTGATTTTCTTGCATTTCGATGAAATCTTCTGTAAAACTGTACCATTTATTGATATTTTTAAATTCTTATGGATTCTTCGTGTCAATACTGGAACGATCATATTTTTTTGTGTAGAAATGGTGAACATTAAATTAAATCCCCTATGTGATAGATTTTAGATTGTTTGACTCGGAACAAGATACAGACTTAATATCATTTTTACACTATTATAATAACTAAACAACTTAGAATGAAATAATTTTTACCATTAGAAAGAGTGAAAAATTTGATACGAGAAGCATATAAAATATCAGTTTCTTAAAAAAGTGGACTTAATACACTTTGGGATCCAGATATACATAGGGATATCCCAATTAGTTCACAAATACGTAACTGCTGTCTAACACTCCGGATTCACCGAAATGACCTACATTTCCCCACATCTGTCACTGCAATTGCAAAGTCAACGAATTTTTTTTGCTAATCAACCAAAGACGACTGTTGTTTACAGTAGATAAGCGATACTCGCCGTTCTTAATACACGATTTACAAACCTGTTAACACGTTCGCCGTCAGTATGAATTGGAATTTACCGAAAACAAACCGTGATGTACCAGACAAGAAGGTACTTACGTGCCTCCTTGGGTTTCACGTAGTTGCACAGGTGATTTAGCTCGTCCTGCTGATAGACCGGCCGTCTGACTGTTAATTCCGGCGTGGTCGCCGACATCTCGTCGCTTAAATAGTCTGTGAACAGTTCGTACATTTATAATTTAATTTTCCTCCGTGATTTCGCTGTTTAATAATCACCTAACAAATGTAACAATGATGTACATTACTGCTCGTAAGTATTACGACACCTGGTCTGGGCGAAGAAAATGTGATGATTCGAAACAATTATATAATTCAAAATTTCTATACTGTCATCATGTTTTTTGAGAAATTCGTATAATTATTCCATTCCAATGAAAAATTTGTGTTTGATAGCATGAAGGGATTAATTAAAGAAAGCGTACACATCGGTTTAAAAAAATAAATATAACATTTATTTAAAAAAAAAACAGAAATATAATCTAAGAGAAAATAAACGGTCGACGTTTTATGACTCTTTCGCCATTTCTTTTCAGTCATACACTATCAGCCAAAAGTTCGGAATCACTCGTTAACACTCGATGAAATATTGCATGTAACGCTAATTAATTTCAATTTCCACAGAGATTAAATATAATCTTCCAAAGTTTAATTACAGAAACACTCGATATTTAATCTGGCTAGAATGAATGAAAACTATTGAGTCGAGTGGCAAGCAATATTCCTATACAGACGTCAATCAGTTATCGTTCAGTGTTTTCCAACTCGATCGACAATCACTCAAGTTCAATAACAACGGAGTACGTTAATCTCGCGTATGAATAATTCCAGGCAGATATAAGTATCGAATATTACAATCATTCCAAGCTCTTTCTGGAAAATTCCTAAAGTGACATAGAAATTGAAGGGGAGTAAACCTTTTCCTAACTGTATACTCTGTCTAATAGGGGGATCTACAAAGATTCCTCGTTGAGTGTTCGAAGGCTCCTCGGCACTGAATATTAAAGATATCATAAACTAATGGCCATATGCGGCTGAAACAAATATCATTGGCTTCAGAATTTCAAACTTTATCACTGTGCTAAACCTCGTTAAAAACTTAACATTACACCTGGGGATCTCTTCTTGTCGGTGCCGAGAAGCACTCATCGAGGATTTACTGTACTGTACTTCTAAAACCAATATATCTAACACAATCACTGTCGTGCGTTGTTCATCAGTTTCTGTCATCTAATACAAACTCAAATGTCAATCGAAACTCAGTCGAAGTAAACTCCGTGGTGATTAACCCTTTAACGCCCAGTGTGACGTAGGCAGACGTCACATCTAGAAAAATCATATTTCCAGGTTTTTCTTTCGTGGAAATAAACCTGAGGTTCACGTATTGGGACAATCTTTAAGTTAACTAATTGCAAACGATAATTTTTTCCCCCGTAAGGAGTGCCTAACCGTTAAAAGTTAACGCCACGATAATAGGCCACAAATGATAGGATAATACTGGAGGTGATTTTAAAGAATTCTGTGAACTTTATTAAAAATGTACCAAAAGGTTCTTATAATATGCTAAATTCCACCACAGAATGACAAATGGTAAACACATACCGGTCGTGCAGCTATTGTGTTCGCTATTTTTTATTCACAAAATTCCAAACAAAATATTTTTCTTGGAAATATCATAAGGTCCTTACTGTTACATTTGTAATAAAAGTTCATAAATCTCTTGAAAAGTACCTCGATAAGTATCCTATCATTTTTACCCCCTACAGGGTTAATCGATCGGTATCGTTCCGGCGACGATATTTTCAATGTCGATCGTTCGTAAAACAGAACAAAAAAAAAAATGAAAGAAAAAAACCTGTCATGGTGGCGAAACAGTGCTCCACGATGCCGTGGGATCGTCACACGGAGGTTGATAATATACTACGTGTCGATGGCTGCGAGCAGACCAGGGGAGGAGAGGAAGATCGAGAACGGATCAACGTCGCGCGCGCGAGGAGTGATAACGCGAGTCGTTTCTATCGCGTACTAACGAATCGAACGTAAACCGGAGTGAACGTACCCGTTGGCCACCGATTGCATTTTCCATTGGGTACTCGGTCACGTGTCACTAATCGGGGATGCCGGGGCAGCCGAATAAACGAACCGATGTTTGCGTTGCCGCGTCTATGGGATCGGTACCGTGGCGATCCACCGATCGGTTAATCGTGCTGATGTAACAGTGTCAATAGACAACACGAAGGTTGTTGCCGTAACTGTTTCGTAACTAAATTGCTCCCGTGGAAGGTGATATTTTGATGCGCTACGATGTTCAACGCGACGTTCGGCCTGACTGCGGAACCAGATCGAGCACTTGTCGGAAGTGGGAAAGTACTGTTGGGATCGAAAAAGTATCAGGATTGGTAGAATGAAACGTAACTTATTAATTCTGTCGTCGAAAATTATTTCGAACCCCCTCAAAGTAACCCACTGCAAAATAAAATGTTTTCGAATGATGCTTTACTTTCGAGGAAATCAAACTTGAAAAGTTCGATACACGGGCGGTGGAATAGGAGTTGGCTAACGCGTCTGTTCACTGCAGGCTGATTCTACTTATTGCCAGAAGTACACGGGAGTCACATGAATTTTGTAAATTCAAATTTTCTCGAAAATGGAGCTTTAAATGATAAAATATTATTCTTCTTTTTCGACTTATTTTTGCATGCTGAATCACGTCAGGCTGATTGTACCACGATTTCGGGAACACAGTGCATAATTAACACGGTGATTATACGGGAGAAAATTAGTTTATCTTTATCTATTGTCAGGATGTTTGCTCTGGTTTGTCCATCGAAATGTATCATACAGTCGAGCTCGCGGAACGCTGATAACATTAATGTATGCAAATGTTCATTGATTTATGACTAAATTGCGGATGTTTATGGAAATATCGATTTTTGTGGACTAGTTCAGAAAGATTAGAACACAATAGAAATTTAATAGTCTTATGACCGGTTCTAGAAGAATCATTTAAATTTTAATTATTCATTTAAATTTAAGTATTCGTTTAAATTTCAAGGTCACTTTCAACGACCTCGAAGTATGAACTGTCGAAACTTGTGGCCGGGTCGATCATGACCCCTAGACATATTGCGCAATTTTAGTTAGTCGATCTATTATAAACAATTTGGCGACTCACCGGTGACCCGGCCATAGGAGCACTAGGATTAATCCTCCGCGGGTGGACTTTTATTTTTACCTGTATAAACGTAACTTTTAAAAAGCCTCTCCTCTGAAACGTATATTTTTTAAGTTGTGCCACTATCACTGTATGTGCCACTGCCACTATCACTATAATTGATGTAATAGTATGTTCAATAACCTCGAATATTATGACGTTGAGAAGTCCTTGAATTTCAGCACTCGCATTGAAAGTACGAAGCAAGATTGTTAGCACTTTTAATTGTATTCCATGTGAATATGTACAATGTATTTATAAACTACTCGTTTACTATTATTGTTGCCATACTTATGATCTAACAACAAAACGAAAAGTTACTGTTTATTTTAAAAATATTAACTTATAGACTCACACTAACTGAATATTCTCTGATCGGTTCACTGAGCACCTTGAAAATTTTGGAATTATCTCAAACCTGTCGTATGCATTATTTCGTCGTGTCGTGAATATTTCGCAAGTGCAAATATTCATTTGTCTATTGTAATTCACTTCTCAGTGTTTCTCAGTTCTCATTCGATTAACAATCATCTCAAAGAGATACACGATTAATTCACCAGAAATAGATTACATTCATTCTACTTAACTATTTCTACTGAACAATAACAACAGCGAGCCTTAAAATAAAAAGTACAATTAAAAATAAAAAAAATAAAAAAATCCCACTGTAGAATTTCCCTAAACATATCTTCTTCAATAACATCCATTCTGCCATGATTTTTCTCGACACCGTGACAGCATAACACTCGAGGGGTGCCAAAATACAATTTCACGGAGCTTAACCGCGTTTCGTGGCTTCTCAACAAACAATAAAGATTTCGAGCTTACCAATAATCTCGTAAAATACGATTTCGTCCAACTCGAGGATCAGTCTTGATGGTGCCTTAAATAAACTTCCCTCGATGAATTCTCACGTCAGTATACCACAGTTCCAACGTGGAACGATCACTAATTAGGGATGAAAACTCATCAGTCCTCTTCTTCGTGCGTGCAAGACACCGATATGTTCCCACCAAGAAATCGATCGATCGGCGAACGTTAGCACGACCAGCGTCGAAGTTGCACTTAGAATTAATAAAACACTGTGCAAGAGTAACGAGGTATACACTCGGAACAGATTTCACTTTCGATCACGGGAGATCGAGCAATTGGAGCATTGCGAAGGCAGTTTCGTTGCTTCTGTGTAGCGTTTCCCGTTTCGTTGAATCGACGAGGACGTGTGTCACAGATCTTAATCCATCGTGTCGCCACTCGTTGTACGCATATATATATACATATATATATGCATATATTGTACGAATTTCGAAAAGGTGGTTCTGTGAAGAGGAGCATCACCATTACGGAGCCAGATAATTTATGGACGTCGTGATTGTTATCTGTTCCTTCTGTTCTAGTAACGTCGTCGTCATTCGCAATTTCGACAGAAAATGACGTACTATGACGCTAACATGGAATCGTTTCTAGATTGAATCGAACTCGTTAAGACTTCCGGGATCAGGAGAAGAAGTATCAGTAGCTGCTTAGAGATTTAATCGAGTCTTTGGTTTTTGTTCTTTTTGTCTAATGGCGTCGTTAGCTTCATTCGACGGAAGATAAAGCTCTATGACGCCATTATGTAATCGTTACCAATTCGAATCGGAATTGTTCATATTGTTATGGTCGGGTGATATAACATAGTAAACTAAATAAAGACAGAATTGAGTTTCCGTATGTTTCTGATCTCTTCCTTTTCTGCTAATGATCGCGTGCAATATCTTCGTTCGACGAAACATGAAGCATTGTGGTGCCATTATGTAAGCGTTTCAAATTTAAATCGGATTTGTTTATGTTGTTATGGTCAGGATATATAATTTTGCGACTGAATGAAGGCAGATTTCGGATCTCTTCATTTTTTTGCTAATGGCAATTGCATCGTGTTTATTTGAAGGGAAATAGTCAAAATTGCAGTGGCGTCACAGTACAATCTAAATTTTTTATTTATGTTGATACTGTTCGTATTACTATGGCGGATGGAACAAATACAATACTTGTAACAATTAGAAACGTAAAATTATGATCCCAATTATGTTCCAGCAGGATCGTAACTATGTCTTCCATTGCATATACTTCTGATTCACAAAATGCAGTTGTAAATTGATTTAACCCCCAATTTATCATAACTTAACGGTCCAACCTCTATTGATTTATATTTCACCGTGTGTCTTCTGTTTCCTATGTCTTAGATAGGTTCGTTTGTTGGTAGAGATAACATTCACGGAATTTACCATCGTGAAGTGTATCTATCGGGATTTCTAGGTCGTATGGGATACGTGTATCAGGTCAAGAGCAATGGATCGTCGTGATGAACTAAAATAGTCTTGACCATTTTATTAAGAAAACATTGTATTACGTATTAATCACACCCACTTGCAGACATATATATTATTATCATCAACCTGTTTAGCAATTCTTCCTTTTTCAATTCGTGATCGATAACAGCGGTTACGTTGTAAGATGGGAAAACAAATACGACTATTTTCAATGATTATGCCTATTGTGTTTCGTTTGCAGACGAATGCACGTGTTCTTTAGTTCGATCTTTGGAGCGGAATCATACCCGAAGCAGAACTACACTCCTGTTCATAAGTATTAAAACACTCGTCGAATGTGCAGTAAATATTACCAGACAATTACCAAATCACTGGAAGTCCGAAAGAAATATTATTTAAGAGATAATACAGCTCAATGAACAACGCTTGTGCTACTGAGACCTAGTAAAAGTGGCCTGAAATATATAACTTTTTCCAAACATATTTTCTTCGTACAGGCCAGATGTCTTAATACTTATGAGCGGTAGTGTACTCTAAAATAAAGTATCATATTCACGTCTGTATCTTGCAATGCTAATTATCAACTGCTAAAGATAAAAGAATCAATTATATCATGCACGATTACACGTTATTCATACATAAAACAACCATTTTTCGATTAATGACTGCTATTGAAACAGATGAATCGTTTAAGTCCATAGATCTGTATATAAGAAATTGCTTCCGCACCAGTTCGACATTAGAACCGATAATTCAACGGCACTGGTGCTGTTCGTCAAGTGGGAAAGTTGAAAATTTAATATAATCGAGTGTGCGATCAAAATGGCGGGTTTACTGTTCGCCATTTCTATTCTGTTGGCAACAGGTGGCCAGTGTCGAGGGGAAGATGAGTCCCCTATCGTTCAGACGAAATCGGGGCCGGTTCAGGGGTCTGTATGGAAAACACCATGGCATAATGTCAAGTATTTTTCGTTCAGGGGAGTTCCATACGCTCAGCCACCGATTGGAGACCTCAGGTTCAAGGTAAACCCAAGTAGTAAAATAATCAAAAGGTTCATAAGTATTTTGAAACTGTTGGATCGGATTTAGCAGATAAATTTATAAACTGGAAATATAGTTAACTGTAGGCCAAACTATAGAAAGATTCTAGAATGGAACGTCTAACAGTCAGAAGTTCAATTTTACATGGAACAAGATCTTGAGCATATGCTTCGAAACATCTACATCGGGATCCTCATTTAGTTACGAATAATACATTATTATGGTTGTCTTGACAGAAAAATTGGCTGAATACTGTTCGAAGTACTTTAACAATGCCAAAATTTGGCTTCAGATTCAATTAATTAAGACAGTAACTGACATTGCTTGGAAATGACTATTTCTCTACAAAGACATTTTTTTTGTCCCTTTTCGATTAAATAGTGCTATTCTTTATAATAAAAAAAATTGTATATAGATTTTTTAATCTTTTTATATAAAGAATAAAAAGTTTTATTTTTGGGCAGACACATTTAGCAATAATTCATTGATGAAGCTATCTGCAATGCTAACAAAACGTTCGGATAGTTTCACCAAGACGACAGGAATTATTGCACCCAAAAAGCTCCGTAGCAATAATCCTTAGAATTACTTATTATTAATATCAATGTGACAGCCGCCCGTCCCAATTGATCCATGGACGAATGTACTGGACGCTCGCAAAGAGCGCAGCGTTTGTCCACAATTAAGTGGCGATTCGTACGTAGGAAACGAAGATTGTCTCTACCTGAATGTACACACTCCCGTGGTAAGGATCATCGGATTGTTCATCAGTTAAATCACGTAAATTGTAAATTCTGTATCCGATATAACTTCTAACAAGACTTTTGATTTATTTCGGATAGACAAAGTTCGACGATTCGATGCCTAAGTTAGCTACCATGGTGTGGATTTACGGTGGTTCCTTTATCCATGGATCCGGGGACGCGTCGACATACGGACCTGACTTCTTTATGGAGCAAAATGTCGTCGTTGTCACCTTGAACTATCGTCTTGGTGCTTTAGGTAGGGATTTCATAGGGTCAAAGGTAAGAGTATAGCGAAGTGGTCCACTTAGAGGATCCAGAAGCAGAGTTTTGGATCTAAAGGTTAACGAAGAGTATCGTAGAAGTCGAAAAGTAATACTAATAATAAAGAATCTATTATATATTCTTCAAAGTTCTTCTAAAGCAGAGGTCAAAATCGTCTAATTCAAAGGTCTTCTAATCCATTTTGCATACGTGCTAAGAACTTTTGTTTGGAGAACTTAGCTAGGCCTACCCTGCGAGAGGAGCTGCCATTTATGGTTCGGTTGACTTTATTACAATACATCGAATAATAGTACGAAATTAAAGTAATAGAATAATAAATAGAAATTATACACCAAACGTGAACACACATAAGTTTCCATAAATGGGGATTCCATACGTTTTATTGGTTCAGTGTAGAACATTTCATTCTTCGATTATTAGGTCTCGTGTTCTTGATCACTGAATCTTCGTTTCGCGAGAATTGGATTGCTCGCAATTGAACATTTCAGGATTTTTGCACCTGAACCACCCGAACGCAATGGGGAACGCAGGTCTGCTGGATCAGAATCTGGCCCTGAAATGGGTAAAGGACAACATTGCTGCTTTCGGTGGTGATCCAGCCAACGTGACGATATTCGGGCAGAGTGCTGGATCCTCGTCCGTGGTCCTTCACCACCTGTCCGAGTTATCAAGCGGTATTTAAAGTCCATGTTTATAATTAATTACTCCCATTGCAATATGGTAAATTCTGATGATATCCATGTTCTCCCTCCTGACACAGACTTGTTCACTCGATCCATCAGTCAAAGCGGAACACCACTGGTATTCATGTACCGCAATCCATCCAATTCTGTTCGGAACGCTCGTCGGTTAGCCTCTATTCTTAATTTCGATAATTCCAACACCGATCAACTGTTGCAATCTTACCTTCGAGCGAACGCTGAAGATCTCGTTAGGGGGACAGAAAAGATTAGCCTGATCCCGTCATCGGTGCGTGATCCATTCTGCTCATTAATGGTACCGTAAGTTGGGGTAACTTTGTCCTAAGTCAGGAAATAATCGTTTTTTGATTTTACAGCTTTGCAAATTGTTAAATCAAGGTGATTTTTTTTACGTGAAATGGTATTTCATGTGCATATACAGTGGACTCTAATTATATTGCCATGGTCGGGGCTGTCGGGGAGTAAATGGCAATGAGTTCAGAGCCCCCTCCATGATAAGTTTTATCGTCATAGCCTCGGCCTCAGTGCCTGCGCAAAAAATGGGTCGTGCTGGTGCGCCGGCGTACGCAACGTGGTGGGGAGCGAATTTGTGTGCTCGAAAGTACGTGTTAAGGGGAAATTCCTCGCGTGATAATATATTTAGTGGCCATATAGTTAGAGTCCACTGTATCTGCGACAGTACTGCAAAGTCGAGAATGATCATTTTCTGACTTTGGGACAAAGTTACATCCCTGACTGAGTCGAAGTTACCTCAACGTACGGTAAGAGTTTTAACGGATGAGAACTGTTTATGATATTTCTGGTAAAACCGCAGGTGTCGTTGCCGTTTAGTCCCACCATAGACGGCGTTTTCCTCACCGAATGCCCCATAACACTGTTCATGACGGGCAAGTTCAAGAAGTGCGACAAGATGTTGGGCTTCACTTACGATGAACTGATTTCGTTCTCAGACTGTGAGTGTACGAATAAATCGATAAATTTCCAATGGCTACAGAAATTTTCAGACGTAGTATATTTTGACATTACTCATTATGGATGTTTAAAAATGTTGTAAAATTTGACAGAATTTTGTTTCGTGTATTAGAGGTTTCAATACTATCACATTAGAATTCATTAAAATCTTTATTTTATTATATTTTTCTAACTAGAGGACGTTATAAATGCATAAGCATCGGCAGTCTAGTTATTAGATATTTGAAGATTTTAACCATAACTTGTTATGGAAACGTTTTTTCTTTGAGATAGTGATATCGTATACCGTTGTATGTTGTAGCCATCAATAACGAAGTGACTAACTCAGCGCTGAATAACGATATGGTCAAACGTATCCTTGGGGAAACTGTTGGAGTAACTATCGTTATGCATTCATTAAAAATCAAGTATAGTTCACCGTGACGATATAGTGAAATAGTTAACTCAGCAGAGATATGAATACAGGTTTAGTACGTTAAGCCTAATCGAAAGTATTCTCTTCTAAATCAATTTCTCCCCCTGGTGAAAGTGACCTTGGTTGCAAGAATTCTATCTAGAGTTATTCACTCTCACAAGGAATTTACAATTATGGAGTCGATGAATTTACCTCGCTATATCCTTACTGTCAACTATACACACAAGAAAGATTTAATATAGTAAAACATAGTACAGGAGAGAAAAAATCTCGATTGAACTCGCGATCGTTCTACGATCTCAAGATCTCATAACGATCGTTTATTGTACTAGAAATGAATGAGTATTCACGAAACGGTACAATAAATCTAAGCTGGGCTAGCAATAAACGATAGATAGTGAGATCAATGCTAACTACAGTAATGTCTCGATGAGTGTCTCTGCTTAGCTACTGTTTACTCTGTTTCGATTGGTTCCAGAGGGGGTTCCGCCCCCAATGGTAGGAATAACACTATTGTTCGTGTCGCATTCATCGAGGAATCACTGTAATAACTTAAATTTACTGCATATGACGTTTCTTACTCTGATTGTAGACTGTATCGAACCTAACTATGAGCAGTGGTGTTGATTTCACTCAAAAATTTTTCGCGAAATACAGCGATGAACATCCCGTTTACTTTTACTTACTGTCGTACGCGGATTTCCCGAAAAAGGATTTGGACAGACTTCCACCGCAAGGTAATCTCTAGAACTTTTATTATTCTCTTGTACAATATAAAGCGTAATTCATAGAATAATCGAATATGGGGAAAGATTTTTAATGTATAAATCAATAAGAAGACATTGAGTATCCATCTTTTCGTACGTTTACTGAGAAATAAGTTTGGTTCAATTTCGTGAAGTCGACGTTGTTTTCTACTTCAGAGACCGGCCATGGTGATGACCTTGCTCTATTATTCAACACTGATATTCTGGGTAGCGCGCCTAATCCAGATGATGCTTTCAACGTTATGCGACGAAAGATGGTCACATTGTGGGCAAACTTCGCGAAATACGGGTACGTCACCACGTTATCATTCTAATGCCAGATAAAAATATAGGAATACCTGCAAACTGATACGTTAATGTACATCATTGATGATCAGACAAAATGCCGTACCTATTTTCAGAAATTAATCAATGCATGAAACATACAACGTGAGCGTATTTTATGATTTTGTCTTCTATTTTGCCTTCGAAGGAATTATGACATACAGACTTCTCTCGATTATCGTCTGGCTTGTTCTACACGATTATTGTCCAGGCGTCATCCCCACCACTGGGGAGGGGGTGGAACCTGAAAAGAGCATATTTTGTTGCTCCTCCGCTTTTATTCCCGAGGCTCAGCCTTCAGAAAACAAAGCGAATTTATGAGAGTCTGAAACATTTCTCCCTATAAGATTATTGTCCTGGCGCGGACCTGATTTCGGGACGACAATCGAGAGGAGTCTGTATACACTAAATATGAACCTGCGGAAACGTAAACACATATATTATGTACTCACAAATTTCTGCGTGTTCTTCCAGTTTAAAGAAGTATTTTCAGAAAATAAGTATCGAATTTATCTAGATAGAATTGGGGGATCATAGTAGGTGTTGAGAAGATGAAAATGTCGTTGGGTCAGAAGAAGACCTCTAGGCGGATAAATATTTTGTATAGATTGGGAGTTGATTTTGTACGTTTTCCTCTGTATATAGAGATCCTACGCCTCCATTCAATAACCCAGTCGAGGTTGCTTGGGAACCGTCTGGAAGGGCGGGACGACAGCTCGAAATTAACTCGACTTGCAAAATGATTGACCGTGCCATGCTGTCGCACGTTATTTCTTCTGAGTCCGTTCTGTACTCGATTCTACCAATTACCAGCGGCTGCAAACAGGTTTCCTATGCAACGCCATACACCGACCTCATCTAGAATTGAATCTCTTGTAGAATTAACGCTACAGACCCGGCTAGATATGGGAAGATCGAAGTATACATATCTGAATTTCTCTGAATATGTAATAATGATACAAATCTGTTGTTGGATCCACTAATAATAATACGAGCAATAATAATGTACAACAGTACAGTCACTTATTTCTGTCCCCTCTACTAAAATTGCAACTAACTATAAGAACTTTACGGTGTTGAATATGCAAAAGTGCTTGGTTCTGAAATTTTTCATAATCCAACAGCAATTGCTATAGTACTTAGTACAGGAAATACTATCGCTTATATTCTATAATTTTTGCCATTCATCTTTTTTTTTTGTTAATTAATTTAAGTTATGTTGTAATTATTATACACGATCTATTAATTGAAGCATCGTAATGAGCAATTTGAATCGTCCTTCTATGGCCTAAACCTTGAATGCTTTAAGAAACTATGGGTAAATTGGATAACTTGAATTAAAAGTGGATATTGTATAGTGGAGTTTGCTATTAAATAATATTATTATATAACAATGTTATTACCATATTATAAGAACTATTATACATGTTTTGTCAGTTGTGTTCCATTGATCAGTAACAGTCTATAGTTCTGAAAATAATGTTCAAGCTATCAAGGATCCAGAAGAACAACGTCTGTCGTTAATACACGATTATTACATTTATTTGCAGATTGAATATTGTTATTACATACTGTATTTTCTTCTAAAGCGACCTACAATCTCCTTCCTAGTTTGGAAATCAACCGTGACCGTCCTCTGCGTCAGATGTATTCTGCAAACAAACAAAATATAAGCAAGCACAACAATATTATCGAAAACAATTACAATAATACACTGCAATCTTTAATAACAACAAAATCGTCGAAATTAACAGACATGTTGCGTTTCGATTTAATAACATTGATTTCATTTATAAAAAGACACTCTAGCGTAATACAACAAAAAATAAAATCTGTGGTAAATTAAAACTCAACATAAATCCCGTCAAAAGCACCATTCTAATATCAGTGATGGTAACACAGTAAATCTGTAATCCTTCATTTTGATTGGTTTGGCAGTTCTAATATTAAATACGAGATCTATGAAAAATCGTACCTTCTACCTCCCGCCTATCTTCCATTTCTTGCCGAGATGTTTCAGGGGTCCGCGTACACCATTCAGTAGGTTCTTATGGCCTTGTCCAATTTTCAAAAGACCATCTCCAAGAACGGAACGTTTTTTCAAAAGTCCATCAAGTCCCACGTTTGATTCTACTGCCGTTTGCACTTCTGCATCAATGATTTCGTCAACAACGGCATCGACACCCAGGTCTGTTCCGACATCAATGGAACGTTTTCCGATTTCCGTATTTAAGACTGTGCCCAAGACCCCATCAGCAAGGTTACCGAATCCCAAGCCGAATTCGATACCAGCACCAATGGGTCCCACGTCGAGTTCGAAATCAGCATCAATGGAACGTTTGCCGACTTGTGTTTGGACGCCTAGATCAACGCCCGCATCAACTTCAGTTATACAATAATTATATAATAGATTTACATCTTCAAATCAGTTATATAATGGATTTACATCTTCACTGGAATTCACTGTCAAATAGACACAAACCTGACATCTACTCTCGAAAGTTATGGCGATCTGAACATTATTATTCTTGGGAATTTCTATTATTCCAGAATTCCTTTGATGTTAGTATTTCTATTATTTCTGATACATATTCATAGCAGTCCCCTGGTGCATATATCAAAATCAATTCTCAGATAGCTCCCTCTGAAAGAGTTGAAGCTTTTTATTCTCGACAGTACAATTCATCGAGCTAACTCTCCACTCTTATGTTAGTATCGTCTTGTGTCACTCGTAGAATTCTTTTCGAACACGGGTCCATATTGGATAAATTGGAAGTTATTGTATTAGACTTACTTGCAACTCTGCATTCAGCCTGCAAAACGACAAAGGCACCGACAGCCACGATGATCAGGAACTTCATTTTGTTCAAGATCAGCGCACAAAACTAAAATTGTGCTTGATCGATTTCCACACGGTTATATACGCCGTAGTGGACGGTGACACGAGTTTCTTATGTTTGTCATCCACGATGGCAATATTTCAAATCATTGTTCATCGTATTTGTTCGATGATATATGTTGCTTGGTACATTTTCTGTAATTCGTTACACATTTTCACGCGATTGTGGAGACTAGTTTCGCCACGAGGATGAATCATTATGGAAAATTAAACAGTACGATCATGACCTGCCACCTGTCCCACGTGGTACATATTTTATAGTGCAGGACAATAAAGTTATTTACACGTTCATCGCGTGGAGACCATTTCTACTGACTTTCCGTTCACGCCGACAATACTGTGTTATATTTGAATTTGTATTATGTGTTAATAACTGGTGGTCGAGGCATTGAATGTGTTAAAACGCTATGATAAAAGTAATGTTTTAAACGACGAGTGAAATAGAAGAATTACTAGTTTAACATTTACTTATCCCAAACGGAACTATGAATTACACTCACGTGTGCATACTGAATTTTTTGCATAAGTCATACTCTAGCTACTTACTTTTTTCAAGATTTATTTTATTGTTAAAATAGGCGTGTACAACTAATACATTTTAACTTTGGATATTCGTATCCGAAATTGTGAATTTGCATAAACATAAAAACTGAAAATATAATGGTGCTTTTGACGGAATTTAGATTGGTTTTTAATTTTCTGCAAATTGTAATTTATTGTATATTATGCTAGATTGTCTTATATATTCTGTATATTATTGTATTATAAAATTTAATTTAGTATACATTCGATGCTGATAGTTCTAGTGTTAAAAATTCTTTCGTAGGTACTATCGAAATATAAATCGAAGTAACATAAAATAAGAGAAAAACTCAATTTTTTTATTTTCTTGACACACACATATCGAAAGTTGTATTTGATTTTCAAATCACATTTAGGTATTCTTTTTCGCCTGCTACGTAACTTATATCTATTAGGAAGACAGATTGTCATTGAGAGTATAAATATCGAATAAGAGTACATCAAAATATTGAGGGTACAATAATGAAGTATTGAAAATGTATTAAAAGATGCTCAAACTGCCGGTCGATGTCGATCCGCAGGAATATTTTGTCGGAGATACAGTAAGCAGATGATTCTCATAAACCTCAGTCAATTTATCGACCAAACGCTGCTTCATTACAGAAGTCTCGTTGATCTCCAATTGCATTCCGGAATTCGTGCTGTCCAACCAGGTCACGTCGAATACATTGTCGTTTGACAATTTCGGCGTTGGGTTCCTGCAAAGAGAAAAATATTTTGAAATATCATCGATTTGTGATTGAAGGATCCAAAGATTTAGGATCGAAGTATCCCAAGACATCGATTGTCAGTCGAAGGGTTTAAAGATATCGATTTAGGAACAAAGCATCCAAAAACATCGATGTACAGTCGAAGGATCCAAAGAAGGCGGATTGCCTAGATTTCTCCTATTTCTTAGACTCCCACAGTATTATTCTCGACCGACATTTTCGAGAGTTTTTCGACTGACATGAAATGAAAGGAAAGTTGTGGAGACGAAGAGAAAAGATAATCGTACCCGTATTTAGCGAAATTGGCCCACAAGGAAACCATCTTCTTCCGGAACACATTAAAAGGATCATTCAGATCGGTAGGAGTGATCATCTCTTTGACATTGAACAGAAATCCTATGTCATCCGTGTGGGCGGTTCCTGAAAGCAATCATGTTACCATAAAACGTTCAAAATACTGAGAAAGCTGACATACCCTGTATCTTTGTTTTCAGATAACTGTACTTCGATTGGTACGACAGTCGATAGTAATAAATGGGATGATCGTGGTTCCATTTCGACAACAGTTTCTGTGTTAGATCGATGGGAGCCGCGAAGAAGATATTGGTGATTATCTTCAATAAGTCCTCTAAGTACGGATTAGGAATCGATTCCATAGCTTCTTCCGTCAGATTCGCGAGTATTTTGTCCCAGACACCGTTGATGCCGGTTACTTCGCGGATCAATTTTCTGGTTGTTTCCGTTGGGTTTGGCGCTCCACGTATATCTGTGGCAAGAACACAGAGAAACGTATGCATTTTAGAATATGATAATTAGTTCAAAAATATTGTCGATTATAATGATAGTAAAATTAACAGTCGATGCTAGAGAAGGGTGTTCATTCTACACTAGAAAATTAGAGGACAATAAAGGATAAAAGTTTAAAGTAATTAACTTCGATTTCAGAGAAGTAAGTCAATCGTGACCTAATTGGAATGAGAATATATTTCATAGTACTCACACTCAAAGAACAAAAGCGATTCGTCGTGAGTGTAACCCAACATCATAGAATTCGGTGTGTAATTCCCTGACAGATATTTTTCTATGGGACATTTAATCAAGAATGTACTCTCTTCGGGTGCAATCTCAGAATTCTCTATCGTTGGTCGGTATGGCAGCAGACCCTGGAAGTGTTTAAAATACAGGGTGGAATACTAATTATAAATAATATCCATAAACAGGAAGTTATGTGCAATGCTTGACACTATAGTATACCTAGGCCCCAATAATCACAATTGCTGTTAATCGTTAGAAAAACCTAAGAATTATGTAATTACCAGGTCCACCTTCATCATCGCGTGTACAATATCTCTTGCAGGTATTTGATAAAGGAACTCCACCAGATCGTCCGTGTTTGTTGCTTTATGACCAAGTAAATGGCCAAGTCTTTCAGAATTCATACGAGCTTTCCTTGGAGAATGAAAAGCCCACTGACACAAAGGTGAACCACTCATAAGGATCGATTGCTTAAAGAGACCTGTGATTCACAAAGAAATTTCGTTTGTTTATGTTAACAGGAAAAGACAATACAATATACAATTCAGAGTATAAGCATTCATTGATACTTTGTTCTCTGATGTTTGCAAAAAGAAATTCATGTAAAATACTGAGTTACAGAATCTGCATTCGTATCTATATTTTACAGAAATATTTAAAGTGAATCTTACTAGTTAAGATACAATAGAAAATTAAATTAGACGATTATGATAGAAACATTTCACTTGAATAATCGATGAAGTCTTTGAAGAAGAGAATGTTTATCAAATCATTTTGGAACGTACCTCTCGATTTTTCTGACAACACGTGCAATCCAACGGATGCAGCGCCAGCACTTTGACCGAAGATCGTCACCTGGTTTGGATCGCCCCCAAACGCAGCGATGTTATTCCGCACCCATCGCAGTGCCAGATTCTGATCCTTCAGACCTCCATTGCCCAGAGCATCAGAATGGTTCAGCGATAGAAATCCTATGGAATATCATTTAAAGACTTCGTTTCTAAATGAGATTCGAAGTACAGACTCGTCTTGATTATTGTCCCAAACCTGGCTCCGCGACAGGACAATAATCTTATAGGGAGGAATGCTTCAGACCATTGTAAATTCGTTTTTTGCCTGAATCCTGAACCTCAGCAACACAAGCGGAGTTTAATCGTGGACAATAATCGTGTAGAACAAGCCAGACAATAATCGAGAGGAGTCTGCATAAATGAACGTACCGAGAGCACCGATGCGATAATTGAAGCTGACCAGGACAACGTCCTCTTCTATGAAGAAGTCAGGCCCGTAAAGGGACATGTTGCTGTATCCCAACATAAAGGATCCTCCGTATATCCAAGTCATCACAGGTTTCAGGGTTGATCGTGGTCTGAACTTTGTCTATGATTCAAAGGAAACTGTCATTTATGCTTCTTATTAAGTAACATTTATGACGTTTGTAGATTATGAAAGGTGGTTATGGATTAAGGACGTAATCACTTGATACTTTGAGAATCGTTGACAACTTCGAGGTCAGAGAAGACGAATAAGGATATGTTAATTCTTTTGTTTTAATATTCATGACAATATTTGCTGTTTCGATTATTTGTTACACTTAAAGTGGGTACTTTGATGAGAATCAATGGATATGACTCGACCAGCTTGTCTGCCCATAACTTTCCATTTCTACTTATTTTAAACATAAATCTTTGTGATAACGATTATCTCAAAATCATAGTTATATAAGAAAATTTTATTCTGCTTTAAAGATTTATATTACTTAAATTTTATTAACATTGAACTTATGTTTTCATAAAGAGTCACCATCTTGCTATTTGCACCACCAATAATGGACCATTATGTATAATCCTACCCCTCAATCTATTAGAAATTATACTATGATCTATTGTTAAAAAAAGTGTTAGAAGTTCAATGTAAAATAATGTTTACCTGAGGAGTGAACACATTCAAGTACAAACAGTCCTCGTTCCCAATGTATTCGTTTGTGAACAAGTCAATCTGGGGACAGGCATCACCCTCTTTGACAGCTGCCAGGGTCCTCCTCCATGAGCCCACTGGAACTGGAGGCTGTGAATAAATACAACACACTCTTTTGCGACAAATATTGCTATAAATAGAATTCTTTTTCAACGTTTGTTCAATGAAAAGTTAGACTCATTAAGAAGAGTTAAGAAACTAATAAAATCGGAAGTCCCTGTGGTCGTTGAAGCAGCAGCAGGAGTATTAAAAAAACTAGAGTTCAAGGCAACCATTGTTCACTTCCACTTTTTCCTAGATTCCTACACTTTTTACAATTAGTATCACCAGTGATCAGACTGTGCCAGGTAATTTGCATTATTTACCTTAAATCTCAAATGTCCAAGAGGCGGTTTCGCGTAAGGGATCCCCATGAAACTAGAATATTCTATCTTATTCCAAACTGTTTGCTTTATCACACCACGTACACGACCATTTTTCGTTCTCACCACGTCACTTTCACGATCATTCTTTGCTACACACACAGTGCATAATACCACTAAGAAGAGAACGATTTGGATTTCGCGCGTCATCGTTCTTTACCCTCGGGAACATTAAAATGGTATGGGATTCGACGACGGTGGAAAAGAAGCCAGGTGGACGTGTGTATCACAGAAGCCAGGAAGACGTGTTCCGCACACGTCGGCGATATTGTCACGTATCCGGAAAGTGCATTCCAAATATCAATATTGTTTACAAAGCGATCATATAGCGTGGCCTTCGTCGTTTGTGCATGACAATTTGTGCGATGAGAGATCGAGAGGAAGAAATTTAGACAAAATGATGGTTGCCAGATTAGAAATAATTTTCAACGTTTTAATTACAGCTTAGATATTCTCGATAAAATTTGTGAAAGGTTATAAAAATGTGTGTAACAAACAACACGGTTAATGGTACTTTCATGGAAGTATCCCAAAAAAGTTAATGCTTCAATAGAACTTGTCTAACGATAAGGCAAGGATGATTCATCCAGACTGAAAGGTGTAAAGATTGTTTTCATCCGAAGTGAGCATTCAATGTTAACGAAGTCTCTATTTTTGGTGAAATGAATGAATTGTGGACGAATCAACCAGGTTGCAGATCCAAAGTGTGAAAGTGTAAATTCGCGTTAAAGACCATTATCAGTTGAAATAAAGGGGAAAATAGTTTTCAATATACAAATATACTTTATTTCTTTGCACAATAAGTGATAATTTATTTTTAAAATACTAGCCCAGAATTATTACTACGAAGCTAAAAATAATATTTCCATTATAAGCGTTGATTCGTTGTCAGTGTGGAGCAACATCTACGTCCACTGACCGTTTAGGGATACGAGAGAACCGTTGACCATTATACTGGCACATCTATGAACAAAAAAAGAATACGAAACATAATAATACCTGAAAATATATATACATTACATGTTTTTTTTTATATACTACTGACAAGAAGTATTGCCAGTAATATATATTAATATGTACTAATGTGTATTAATACCATTATTCGTTGTTTATTCTTTATCTTTCATTATACAATTGTAATAATATTTTACTTTTATTCTTGTTACATAAATATCATGAATTTCTCTACTTTATTGTTTTGAAATTCATTGCTTGAAAAACAATTTGAACAGTGCCATGCAGGAAAGACATGAAACCATAAAAAGGTAAACGTTTCCATAAATGGTTATAACTTTGTTAAAAAAACATCCGTTTTGGATGCAGTTTGGCTAGTTCTGAAGCCAAAAATCATAATGTCCGACACCACGCCACAATTGCGAACCCTCTTTATAAGGGACGACTTTCCCCCCTGGGCCTCGAGTTAAATAAAATCGAGCAGAAAGATAAAAAAAAAGAGAAGGTTCAAGATTTAATTCGTTCTTCGTTCAAACAAATTCTAACGAACGTTGACAAAATTATGGAACATTGAATTTCACCAAATAGTGCATAAATAAGACAATACTTTTCGCCAGTAGTGTACTATTTGACCACACAACTGTTCCGAAGGTTCCATTTAAAACCACGTTTGTCACTTACACATGGTGTCAAATTAGACGTCTTATTTCGCCAGTTCAAATCCTATTCCGTTCTCCCATCTCATGCCCAAGTAGTTAACAATCGCCTTGAGCACGACTTGAGTAACAAGTGCATCGAGAAAGAGACCCCTCTTTCCACGATTATGCTCGATATTTCCTTGGTTACCTGGGTTACCGTGTCCATGATGACCTTGGTTGCCATGTCCATGGTGACCTTGATTGCCCTTTCCATGATGACCTTGCTTGCCCTTTCCATGATGACCTTGCTTGCCCTTTCCATGGTGACCTTGATTGCCCTTTCCATGGTGACCTTCGTTGCCATTTCCATGGTGACCTTCGTTGCTATGTTCATGGTGACCTTGGTTGCCCTTTCCATGGTGACCTTCATTGTCCTTTCCGTGTCGTCCAGATTTCTCGATTTCAATTATGCTGCGTTTTCCAAGACCATGTCGGCCCAACAGGCCCCAAGAGTGTTCAGCGCCGTGTTTGCGAAGATGGCGCCAACCCTTCTTGCCAAGCTCTTCTAGATCCTTCTTGCCGAGCTTCTGCAAACCCATTTTACTGAACTTTTTCAGACCAAGTGTGGCAAGATTTTCCAGACCTTTCTTTGCAATCTCCTCAGCGCTGAGGTCATCAAAATCCACGTCACCCCGTTTGCGAAGATCCTTCAGACCGACTATACCCAAATGTTGAATAGTTTTTTTGCCAATCTCCTCCAGACCGCTTTTGTCGAACTTGTGGATATTCTTCCTGCCAAGTTCGCCCAGACCGAAAACGTCAAGGTTTTCCAGACCTAGCTTGCCAATGTCCCACAGATCGAAGTCATTAATTAGCTCCAGCTTCTTTTTGCTCACTTCTTCCAAAGCGAGTATGGCGAGGTGTTTCAAAGCCTTTTTGCCGAGCTCCTCCAAACCAACTTGGCCGAGTTTCTGGATACTTTTCTTGCTAATCTCTCCCAGACCCCATTTGGCAAGGTGTTCCAAACCTCTCTTGCCGAAGTCGCCCAGACCGAGCTTGCCCAGGCCTGACAGATCTTTCTTTCCAATGTCTGCAATACCCAACAGGCCTAGACGCAATATACCTTCTTTGCCGAGATTGTCGATGTTCAGTTTGGCAAGCTTTCCCAGACCATCCTCGCCAAGGAGTCCCAGATCCAATAATCCACCGGAGCCTCCTCCCAGAAGTTTGTTACCAAGCAGTTCTACACCCCATTCCTCGGAGCTGTCGTCATAATCGTTACCGAGGAGTCCTCCTAGACCCAGAAGGTCTATGTCCGGAAGTTCTTTGCCCAGAAGGTCTTTGCCCAGAAGGTCTACGTCCAGAAGTTTTTTTCCCAGAAGGTCCTTGCCCAGAAGGTCTATGTCCAGAAGTTTTTTTTCCAGAAGGTCTTTGCCCAGAAGGTCTACGTCCAGAAGTTTTTTTTCCAGAAGGTTTTTGCCCAGAAGGTCTATGTCCAGAAGGGTTTTGCCCAGAAGGTCTATGTCCGGAAGGTTTTTACCAATGACTTCTCTCCGACCCCCTTCCTCGGAGCTTTTCCAACATTTTCTGCCAACTAGTCCCTGACCCCATTCCTCGGAGCTTCCTGAACTGTCCCTGCCATGGTGTCTCCGACCCCATTCCCTGGACTTATCCACCCCGAGTTCGATACCGGCTCCTATACCGCCTTTAAGCGGACCAGCTTCCACTTCTTTCCCGATGTTTAAGGACAATTCACAGTTCACCGCTGCCACAAGGGCGAACGCAACCACGACGAGTTGGAACTTCATCTTTGCTCACGATTAGTGTGCGAAGGTGAACATGCTAATCGAGTCTGTACGACGGTTTATATACCCCAGGGTGTAATGTGACTTGATGGTTACATAATTGTCAAGTGCAGCTGTAAGGCGACAGAATGTTATTAATTGTATTTTATTGGACATCGAACGATGTACGATATATTACGTTTGCATTGGGAACAATGGATGGCTCTGGTCGATTCCAGTGTTGCGTGGATGAAGGTAGTCTTCTTCTTTACGGAAAATCATTACTCGTATCGATCAGTAGTCCTCTATTTTTGTGATAATATCAATTTCACGTAAGTCTATGAAATATTGATAATATTCGTTGTCTGTTTCCGTTATTCGGGATCATATTAATTACTAAGTGAATAAATAATATGGTTAAATAAAATAATTTGAATTTCAAGATTTGTATAACATATTCATAGCTACTGTTCCTTTGGGATTATGCCGATAAAGATCAGACGAAGAAAGAAATTAAGTGTTCATGTTTGAGTTGAGAATTCATTCCCTAATTATCAAAAATATAGTTAGAATTGTAAAATCAACCATTTATGCAGGTGGCCCTAATAATTAATTTGACCGCCTACCTCTTCGATCCGAAAATGACACTAATTATCACCCCTTGTAATCGAACTAACAAGCACAGGACTCCAAATGTATCTTTAAGATTTGGTTCAAACTCTTCTGACTTAAAGTATAGGCTACGCACAAGCAAATCCTAGTGGGGGTTAGCGGCAAATGAATCACCACTTAATGCAAGAATAATATATTTATTTTTTCATATAACTACATACAGCATAAGAGACAGCAAAATATTTCAAAATGTTACAATTACAATCGATATTCTCCCATGCTGGAATCACTTAATAGAACAGAACCAACGATCAATCCTTCAATAATCGTCGAGGCTCTTTTGAAAATCGTCCAATTCGACGAACCATCATCTTCTAGACTTTAACGATCTTTCGCCAGTAATTGCACGACCGAGTCGGCAACCTCCCTCTTTTGGGATCCGTTTTGCATTTGCGCTATGATACCCTCCACGAACTTCTTGAACATTTCAATGAAAAACTCCGCAAATTTCTTGAAGTCGTCAGCAGCCACGATCGTTCCGCCAATCTCCAGAGCTCCACGCTTCTGAACGCTCTTGATCTCCTCGGTGTATTCGGCATCGCGTTTACCGTTCGATATGATGCCCAGGGTTTTTTCCAGTATTGGTGCTCCAAGGGCCACACCGTCCTTAAGAGCCTCTGCTCCTAGCTTTATAGGAATATCCCAGAGGAAACCACTCACGGATGACATCGTGAGGGCAGCCACAACGACGACCACGAGTTTCATTTTCGATACAATTGCTGTTCTACGAAACTGAACGTGCTGGTCACAGAACATTTGTCGGTTTATATTGTCGAAAACTGCAATGTGACCGAACGCGCGTTGCGTAATTGTCGAAGAGAGAATTATTGCTTGCAGTAAAATTTTGGTCATTGAATAATGGCGTGTCAGACTTTTTGCATTTGAATTGCTAAGAATGCTCGGTCGTGGAAGTTTTTTTTTTTTCTACCAGATATACGTTGTCTGCTATTGTTTTAACCAGTTTTGTTCACAAGGAATGATTCCATCTTCTTTTGTTTCCATTGGTTTAATTTAATTTCCAGATCTTGAGATCACTTTTGATTATTCACCCTTGACTACGATCCACTCGTTTCAGAAAGGAATTTTTATTTCACTATTAAAATCTAATGTTAGAACTTTTTAGGCTCCAGCGTTTGAGAACTTTCAATTGACATCGAGTGGCACACCATTTACAAATAAAGGGAGAACAAGAGGTCAAAAGAGATTTACGTACCTTTTCCTATTCTGTATTGCTGCAAATTTGTGACATAACGAGGTTTAAACAAAAGCATTCGATCGAGTCTGGACAATGGATAAATCAATGAAAAAGTCAGTAATAAAATAACGTATAGAATGTAACATACTCTTGAATATTCTATTTCAAATACCAATATTGTTAATTTTCACAATCAAAGTCGGACACAGGTATTCTATTTCTTCAAGGAAGAAGTTCAATTTCATGGTCATCGTGGGTAGACGTAATCAGAGAATCGTCGAAAACAACCACCTTTAAGGTGGACGCCACTCCATAATTCGCTGGTTCGTAAGCAATAACGTTCTTGATTAAGTTAATACAAAAATTTAATAAAAGCCGATTGCTACATGTAAATTCAAACCCCAAACTGTTCTTAAAATTCGGACCGTTCTAGAAGTTCGAGACGTTTCAAAAAATTGTAGGAGTTCTGAAGGTTCTAAAAGTAGGAATAGTTCTGAAGGCTTTAAATTTTCTAAGAGTTCCGGTTCGATTAAAAAATAAATCTCAAATTAAGGTACAAAGGACAAATCATCAAAGACAATCAATTCATCGTTCAGAAAAACATTCCCACAAATCAGAGATCGCATTTCCGCTGCATGTGACAATACGTCTGTTGCTGCTAAGAACAGGTGCGACTAGTTTGTTCTCTATCCGAAAACAGAAGAATTGTAATCACTATCTATTATCCGATCTTCTCGTTTTTCGGTTTACTCTAACTAACATTTCTTATCAATACAAAGCTATTTGCTGGTCGAAAGTCAGGGAGAGGGAAAAATGAACTGCCATATAATATGCAATCTATCAAGTTTCTTATTAATTATTCATAGAATTACAAGCAAAATAAAATACAGTAAAATCTAAAGGGTTCACTGCTCGAGTGAATGTATCAGAGTTGACTGGAAAATCTTCGACATTTTCGTGGCATGTCATAATGATACACATGGTACCATTTCTAGTTCCTAATTCTCAATCGCCATGTTGATCTGATTTGTTATTGCCTGGTTCACCTGGGTTGCTATTGCCTGGTTCACCTGGGTTGTTATTGCCTGGTTGACCTGGGTTGTTATTGCCTGGTTCACCTGGGTTGTTATTGCCTGGTTGACCTGGGTTGCCATTACCTGGTTCACCTGCGTTGCCATTACCTAGTACGCCTGAGTGGCCCACCTGATCTGAACAGTTTAACAAGCATTTTACTACGCCGTGTTGATGGCGTTTACAAAGTGCGAATCTAAGAGATTCAGCGAGGACTTCTAAATCCGGATGACATTTGCCATATTTTCCGGGATTACCAGAAATATTTATCGTCTGTCACCATCAGCCTACGTCACTTTGATTAAACAAAAATAGGCAATGTATTTTGAATTGTAAAAAATGGTTAAGATATTAATTAAACCTACCCTGGGTAATTATGAAAAATACAGTTAGAATTTTAAAATCGACAACTACGGAACTCTTTGTTCCGAAAATGACGTGAATTATAACCAATTTTTAAATGTTTCTCGGAGTTTTGTGACGGTTTACCTTTCACCGCTACCACCAGGGTGGTCACAGCCACGAGGAATAGGAATTTCATCTCTGTGCAAGATTATTTTGCGAAGTTAAGCCAGTTAGCCGGTTTATATAATCCAGAGTGCAACGTAACTCGATCAATAGATACACATATCAATAACATTTATTATACTTCGTACAATACTTAGTGTATTTTATTGGTCATCGAGTGTCGTGTGGTGAATTACGATTGTGTTGCCAATTAATGGGTGGAATTTTTCAATTCCACTTAATAGTGCATTTTGAATTTTAAAAAATGGTTAAGACATTAATTATTGTGTTCATTGGCAGATTTTCTTGACGAAATATTTTAATAGTTGTGTGGACAAATCATTCCCTGGATAACTCTCCTATACGATACTACGCTTCTTATACAATCTTTGACACAGTGGGTGATGGAATAATTACAGCCAAAGTATGTAGAATACGTTTTTTGTGTTTATGTAGAAATAAAAGCACAATATCGTGGTTCTCACACTGGATAATTTTTACTTAACAATTGTCCACTAAAAATACACACGAAAAACAAATTAAACCGACCCTGGGTAATTATCAAAAATACAGTTAGAATTTTAAAATCGACAACTACGGAACTCTTTGTTCCGAAAATGACGTGAATTATAACCGCTTGTAATGTAAGTTTGCACAGTTACTACCAACAAAACAAACGAGAATGCAGTACGTAACATATTCTCGAATATTCTACCACGTGCAGAATATCCCCTATTCGCACGTTCAAAGTCAAATATTGGCATTCTACTACTCGCAGAAAATTAATGACCAGAACGAACTTGAACTTCATATTTCTATCAAGCAACCATACGGAATGATATATTAAAATGCAGTTAATTTGTCTCCGTCGTAAATTAACAGTATTTCACTTACATTTCATTCTATATCTAACCTCTGACCAATTCCAACCACACTTCGACAGACTACATTGTTCTGAACCAAGGGATTAGGGACAAATAAAACACCACTTAATGCAAGAATAATATATTTATTTTTTCGTGCAGCTACATACAGCACGAGAAACAGTAAAATATTTGAAAATATTAGGATTACAATCGATATTCTCTCATACTGGAATCATTTAATAGAACAGAACCAACGATCAATTCTTCAATAATTATCGAGGCTCTCTTGAAAATCGACGAAATTCGACGAACCATCATCTTCTAGACTTTAACGATCTTTCGCCAGTAATTGCACGACCGAGTCGGCAACCTCCCTCTTTTGGGATCCGTTTTGCATTTGCGCTATGATACCCTCCACGAACTTCTTGAATATTTCAATGAAAAACTCGGCAAATTTCTTGAAGACGTCAGCAGCCACGATCGTTCCGCCAATCTCCAAAGCTCCACGCTTCTGAACGCTCTTGATCTCCTCGGTGTCTTCGGCATCGCGTTTAGAGTTCGATATGATGCCCAGGGTTTTTTCCAGTATCGGTGCTCCAAGGGCCACACCGTCTTTAAGAGCCTCTGCTCCTAGCTTTATAGGTATATCCCAGAGGAAACCACTCACGGATGACATCGTGAGGGCAGCCACAACGACGACCACGAGTTTCATTTTCGATACAATTGCTG